TTATTGCGCACTTCTGTAAGCAATTAGAATGTGAACCTGGATCTGCTGGCTCAGAGGTAGGGACACTACACTCACTACCACAAGAGCTCCTCCTGTAACCATTACATTTAAACCAGTATGAAGTGACAGCACAATGACAACAATAAAGGAATCAGCTACCGTTGCACTGGAGTTTATCAATAGGCCCAGATAAGCAGTTGTGATTAATCGCAGAAACTCCTTTCAAAGCGATGTGTCGCTTTAGAGAAAAGGGGTTAGGTTGTGGGGGTGGGGGTGGGGGAGATGCTGTGCTCTGAAAGCTCAACAACAGGCGTTCCTCTTGATGAGATAGACAATAAAGCAGCTTACCTCTTATTCTCTACTCTGACGGCATCGACAAGCTGTACATTAGGACAATTTCATCACCATTAATTCATTCACATTCCCATTTGGCCTTTACAGCAACTTGTTACTGCGATGTGTGTTTTTAATTAGCCTCACCATATGGAGCGCATGCTGAAATCTGCCTGTGTGCATACCGGACAGAAGCATTAAACACCTATATGTGCATGTGCCAGTGCATGTGTGAGTTTGAAATTAATATAAATGAGATGTGACGGGAACAATAATGTATTATTCCGCCGCACGTGATTTTCAGACCATGAGTCTAATCCAAATTCCCCTCATCCAAGTCAACATCCAAAAGTTGCCTTTGCAGTACTGGCTGACAATTCAACATGTATTTATTCAAATATTCTTGTTTACCAGCACTGCGGTCTCTTAAAACATTCATTTCCCCCTCATGCATATGGAAGACGTGACTCCCACTTGGTGAAGTAATGTTCTTTTAAGGCTAATTGAATCCAGAAATTAATTTCTTCTACCTGCCTGATCGGATGGAAAGGCTGTCCCCGTGCCCAAGGATTAGCACTTCCCAGTCTAACATCTTCCTTAATTACCTAATAGCATGGGGCTGCGAGAATTCTGCCTCCGTTCAACCACTTTCCGCATTAATAAAAAAATGATTGGAACTGTGATGGCAACTCGATTTCAACAAATTAGTGCGGGCACTGGGAGATGGAACAGAAGTACCTTCTTGTAATTTTCCCGAGTTTAATGTCAATAATTACACCAATTTGATGGGAAATGAGCTGAAATTAACTGTCATTCGACTGAGTCCTGCGGTGCAGGAAGAGAGCGCGGGAGCGAGATAGGGAACGGGAAAGAAAGGAAGATGAGGGAGAGACGAGGGAAATAAATCAGGGAGATTAAAGGTTAAGTTTTTGATGAAAATATCAATTCAAAATTTTCTCATCGCTTCGAGGGAAATTGTGTATAATTACATGGAGATAAAGTCTATTTAAATAGATGCAGGATAACCAGTAGAAACACATATTCAGAGAAATTAAAAAAGGAGCAAGGTCAGATGAATAGGACGGGGTGGGTATATTGGAAAAGATTCAAGCACTTCAGGTTAAATGTACAGACATAACAATGCAAACGTGAAACCTACAAGGTCTGGTATACGGTCTGTTGTGTTCAGAGAGGTGATGGTAAATGAATTCCACTCAAACATAACAATAATAATGGCGACGTCTAAATTGAGATGTCTTTTCCATGAGCCACTTATTCATAAAAATTGCCTTCCAAGAAACAATTTTGTTTAACACCGCTCAGAACATTGGGGGAAAGGTTTGATTTTTAAAAAATCTGCTAAATTTCAGAATTCTTTTGCATCGTTCTAGGATGAGACATTGCGAGTATTATTGAAAACGGTCGTGGATAATTTACCCAGATACAATAATTTTGACGTGAAATGTGATGACACCTATTGAGATGTACGTTTTTTAAGACTCGGGCAGGCCAATGTCTTAGACCATCCCTTTACTGTCGTCACTGCATTGTGATGGCACAGTTTCAGAGGCACATTGAGAGCAAAGACTTGTGAACAAGTCAGATTGCTAATGTGCTTTCACCCACCATACCAGGGCTCAAGCAGTCACTAGCACGACCACCTTCCCATCCCCTCAGTCCCCATCAGTGTGCCTACAAGCCCCCACCTCACTGCTAATTATGCACAAGGCACTGAGCTTGGGTGACAAAGGAGTTATGCTGTCGTCCATTCCTTCAGCTGGTTCGCTACGTGCTGCTGGAAATTACAAACTGCTGCAAGATTTCTTCTAGTATTAAACTTACTCGAGTGTAAATGGCTCACCGACCTGATGGACTGCAGCTTAGAGTGACTACAGACTGTCTCCGATCTGAAGTATATGTACAGTGAGGTTGCCTACTCAAAAGTGTTAGTGTCACTTGTAATCGGAATTGCGGACACACAATGGCTTTTGAATTGATGCCTTTTCTGTATTGACGAAATATATGGGGCGGTAGTGGTGTGGTGAGATCGTTGACTCCAACTACAACCGTCTATATAAACCCCAAAAAGTTATGGTCAGAAAAATAAAATTAGCTGATTCGTCAAGCCTGCCGTGTAGGTGGATCGGTTAGTTCATTTCGCTGGCTGGCTGGTTTGCAATACAGAGTATTCAATTCCCACACCAGTTCATGAAAGACTTTCCTTCTCAGCCTCCTGCCTGAGGTGTACTGGCCGTCAGGTCAAACTGCCACCATCAGTTGTGTCTCTCTAATGACAGTGCAGCTCCATGGTCTGCTAAGACGATAGAGACTTTACCTTTGCTCCACTGATGCCTAGAGCACCATTATTTGGTATATATTACAGATCCCATCCCACCCCTCTCTCTGTACCACTGCTAACACCTGTGGCAATTGGAGAGACAAAAATAATAAAATATAGGGAAACTGAGTCAATAAAGAAATAAATCTCTGAAAATTGGCTCTTGGCCACCTCCAGGCAAGCGAAACCGATCCATGGGAATGTGTTTTGAAACAAGGAATACAGGAGATGTGTAATCACCGATCGGAGATGACTGTATTGACTTTATAACGGCAGAACATGGCTTTGGACAAGGCTGCTCTTCTATGCATGGCCACAGCCAATCGATTAGACTCTCGTGGCTCTGAGATTGGAACAGTTTCTCCCACCTTTCGTTCCAACACCTGATTCGAACAGGAGTAAAACTGGAAAAAAGAAAAAAAATACGAGGATCCAAACACTTCGTCATAACAGGTGGGGCGGCTGAACAAACGGAGTTCTTCTGAGCTTTGATCTACGGATAGGACAAAACCCTCTGAAGATAGTTCTGAATCTGATCATGATTCCACCCTGGCACTCACACATTCACCATATGACAAGTGACAATAATTCGTGTTGAAACACTTTCATTCTTGGAATGTTTATTACAGAATCCTAACATTCTTACAGGGCAGAAGGAGTCTATTCGGCCCGCCATTACTGTGCCGATTCCGGGAAAGAGTAATTTAGCCAGTGTCATTTTCCTGCCCACCTCCATTGTTCCTTTTCAAATAATCCTCCAATGCCCTCCAGTGCCTCCACCATATTCCCGGGCAGTGCGTTCCAGATCCCAACCACTCACCACAAGGAAAGGTTTTATTTAGCATTGTATCCCACACAGTTGCCACGCCACAATCGTTAACAAGTAAATAGTTGGATAACTTATTGAGCCGCATTTCGTAAACGTCAACCAGCTTTTAAAAATGTTGGAACTGTCATTCCTACAAATGGTAGCAATAACCTTCTCTGAAAAGTACAAAAGACAATTGGCGAACAAATAGTAGCAGCTAAATTGCAAATTTAAATAATTATTTTGTAAATGTTGTTACAATCTGGCATTAGCATCAGTTGGCCATTAAGATCTGTTATAGGCATGCATCATTTAATACAATGCCTCCAAATATCAACAATGATTGCAAAATATTTTTGAAGTAGAAGCATGCAATTGGAAAGTACTTTAACAAAGACAAACACCTCTCCAAATCAGACACAAAGCAAATAACTGCGAATGCTGGGAGAGAACGGACAGTTAATACTTTGGGTAGATATTTATCACCATGACAGTTCGACCCCTCCACGGATGCTGAATGATCCACGTGTAAATTCATAACTTTGAGTCCTGGCCTAAAGTATTTTGGTTGTGGAACATGGACCATCGGTGCCACAACGTTGGAAGGAGGGGTAATGATCGATTAGCTTGGATTGAAAAGGGGCTAAATGCTTTCACTCGGTGAATCAGTTGCCTTCTTTACCTTGGAAGGTTATGAGTGTCGAGTCATCGAGTTTTACAGCACGAAAGAAGCGTTTCGGCCCATCGTGTCCGCGTAGGTTCATCATACACATATCTACTGAAGGCCCATTTCCAGTATTTGGCCGGTAACTTTGTACACTACAGCACTTCAAGCGATCATTGCTTTGAATGTGTTAAAGGCTGAATTTGATAGCTTCTTGTTTGATCTCTTCAGGAACGGTTAGGGCATAGGGAGCTGGTGGCAAAGTGGAGTTGAAGTCGAAAATAGCATCGCCGTGAGCTGGGCAGCCGGGAAGATTCATACAATCCACAACCATTGTTAACTCTTACGTGAAGCCTATTAGCAGCACAGAGACCATTTAATAGAGGGGATGGGAGTTATTTTATATAGAGGGCGGGAATCATTTGGCAAATTAATGACATTTTCGTTCGGGAAAAGAATTGTCAGAATAAAATCGAGTAAAGTGTTTAAACTGTGATTTGACTGAGCCGGGCCCTTTCAGCACCATGGCTAGCTCCTTGTGAACGAACGTTCTCTGAGCCGGGTGCCCCAGTAGGTCTGACGATTGATTGCCATCCTCCGCCCTGCCGCTTCGCCATTGGCTGAGGGCAGTCCTATCTCCCGGTGAAGAGCAGGTCCTACTTCAGTCAATTATCTCCCAACCTCCTGCAAACCTGTTGCATGCAAAGCAAGGCATTTCGCCCGAGTCTCGCCAATAAAAAGAGGAGCTGAGCTCGTCAGAGGAGTTTACCCGCAACAAAACTAACAGAAGCAACACACAAAAACAAAGCCCCGAAAGAAAATCTCCTTGGACTGAGAGCAGCCAACTTAGTGGAGAAATGAATCTGAATTTCACATCCCCGATTCAACAAGTTTCTGCCCAACGGCCAACGTCTTTCTTCATCGAAGACATTTTACTGCACAAACCCAAGCCATTGAGGGAAGCCCCTCCCGTCTCCTTCGCCAGTTCCTTGGCATCCCGCGTCCCTTTACTAGAGTATGGATACCCTATCGTGCCAACCCCGACCATACTGGCACCTCATCCTCATCACCCACTACACAAACCGGAGCACCATCACCCTTACTTTCTCACGTCGCCTGGTAAGTCTTGCTTGTTCACTACTCATTGCTAACTGAATAATGGTAGAACATATTTCGAGGCGCTGGAGCAGTTTTAACTTCTACGGATACTCTGTGTGCAGAACAGCATTCCTCCGTGTGGACACAGTGTGTAAGGAGGTAGCTGCGTTAAGCAGGGGCACTCACTTCCAGAGTTTTTTTTTCTTCGAAACTAAATGTTCTCCAAGGTTTAATGGAATGCATGACGCTGTTAATATTAGCGCAGGTGTACACAAGGAACCACGTTACGGCCGCGCAATTTAGGGAAGCATCTGTGAAACTGGGTAACAATGCCATTTCATCAACGTTTTAGGCAGCGCTTGATAATTTGTAACAAAACAAAAAGAATTCCATTGATTCCAATATATTGAGATTCAGAATCAAGGGGTAGCGAGTAGTTGCTGACCCAATGTTATACTGATTTTGTGGTTGCGCTTCCTTTCTGCGGAAATGCGTGCAAAAAAAGTAAGAAAATAGGAAATGTAATTTATACATCAAACTTTTCTTTTAAGCTATGTGACAAAATATCTTACTTTTGAAGAGGGCATCGGTTTCAAAGTGGATTTGTTGCAATGATTTGATAGTGTTTTATAATTTGAAAGTAATCCGATTCTAGACCAAAACAATACCCAAGTGATACGCAACTATAATTGCCGGTTGAAACAATCCTTCACTTTGAATATTAAAAAAAAAATCAAGTTTTCAAGATTTTCATCATCTTTTAAAAAACCCTTTTCTTTTCTGAAGAAATCTGAACACATTTGTCTTTGTAGTACTTAAGGCAATTATTTTAATTATGTATTTCAAACCAAATGAAAACATTTGCAGTTATTTTAATAAGACCGTACATTGATGTTTCTAAAGCTGCCGTCAGACGGTTCTGTCAATGCAAACTCCAATAATAACCGAGATTTCAACAATGCGCCTATTTGTTTGATGCATTTAGAAGCATATGAATTGGGAGGAGGCATAGGCTATTCGGGCCCTCAAACCAGTTCCCCCTATTTAACTTGGCCATGAATGATCATCCACCCTAACGCCATTTTGGTTTCCTCGCTATCCCTTTATCCCTTGACAAGTTTAACATCAAGGATTTAAAAAAGGGATGTCTCATTTTAGGGTTAAGGGAACTCAGTCCTCCTATGCTCTACCTTGAGCTCTCTAAACTTTCCGACGTGTTGCATTCGGGTAACGTGGACATTGGATAAATTACATTCTTTGGGGGCCAAGGTGAAAGCTAAAACATTTTCCAAAACTTCGGTCTGAAGCAAAACTCTTTGTCTCACGACGAAATTTGTTCGCTTTTGTATAAAGTGTTTTTGGAATATATAAACTTTGGAAACACAACTGAACTATATCATAGTTAAAATATTACTATTCAAAATTAGGGGGAAAATCAATTTAAAATCTACGTTAAATTGATACAGTTACCACAGATTGAGCTCGCATTACGTTATACTTTAATGTCACATTCAAAATCAGCAAGAGTTTAAGATAACAAGGTACAGAGCTGGATGAACACAGCAGGCCAAGCAGCATCAGAGGAGCGGGAAGGTTGAAGTTTCGGAAGGGTCTAGGCCCGAAACGTCAGCCTTCCTGCTCCTCTGATGCTGCTTGGCCTGCTGTGTTCATCCACCTCTACAC